GAGGCTTTCTGCTCCCGTAAAGATTTACAGCCTCAGAAACCCTGTACAGGGTCGCTGTGAGTCAGAACCGACTCCACGGCACATAACAACAACAACAACAACAACATTCCTTATAAATAGATAGTTCAAGAGTAACAAATATATTATTTTCCTCTAGATTTTTATTAATCCTTAGATTTCTGCCTTTTCTAATTCAGTTCTAACAAATGGAATCTTACATGTAACCTTGTTGTTGTTACGTGCTGTTGAGTTGGTTCTGACTCATGATCATCTTGTATAGGGTTTCCAAGGAACAGCTGGTGAGTTTGAACTGCCCACCTTGCAGTTCAAATCACTCTTGATTTCTTATGCTCATCCTATCGTGCCACCCAGGACTCCATGTGTAAACCAGACATGCCATATAAAGGAAAGCCTATAATGCAGGTGAATAAGATGAAATGAAACACCAAACTACCTAAACCTATTTTTTATGTCAAGCTGGATGAGGAAAACAGTAACAAAAATATTGAAAAGACATTCATAAAAATAAAATCCTGTCCTATAATTGATAACCATGTAAAGCATCCACATAAAATTGTCTGTGAACAAGTCTTTTGCAATCATCAAATCTTATATAATCTGCTTTAATCTCCAGGCTTTTTTGTTCAATAAGTAACCACTGATTTACCAAATGTACACTTCTAATTTTAGAAGATATGTAAACAACCATTTTTCTTTATCAAAGCCTATTGAAAGCCAAACAAAAACACCAGAGTTTTGTTTGCTACATGGAACTCAAGAACTAAAGGGGGGTTGGCTACTATAAGAATAAGCAAGTTGTTCGCCAGGAAGCCATCAAGGCAAGCAATCAAGTCCCTTTAGGACAAACCCCTCTCTAAGACTGAAACTCAAAGGGAACGTATGAGCAGGTATGCAAGCTTGCTGGTGACCACATTGGTCTACTGGTGAGTGGAAGAGGGGGAAAGGCAGCAATGAAGAAATGGGCTGAGTTCAACTATGTTCCATAGACTCCCATTGACCTGAAGATGAGAGAGAGAAGAGGAAGGGCTGGTTGGTCCAAAGTGTGGTGAGACCTGGGGATACCTGAGCCCATGGACAAGGACATAGCTATAGAAGGCTAGAGCTGAGAGTGAAACATCCAGCTGATATGAAGTGAGGAGAGAAGCACAAGAACATCCAAACTTGCAGATAATACCCATTTGACCTAGCCTCGATGGCTTGATAATCAGAACTCGACTAGAACAAGATAACAACAACAACAACAACAAAAAAAAAACCCCATAATTTTTGATAAAGGAAACAAGGGTAAATTGCTACAAGTTGATGTACTTGACCTATACTCATGGAGGTAGTAGCTCAAAATACCAACAGAGAGGGAAGGACTCTTCACATCAAGTATCAATGCTATCCTCTCTGTATACAGGGTGAATAGGGATGGGCAACGTAGACATTGGCTACCTAAAATGAGGGAGCAATAAAGGCATGAAGTGACTGGCGTACAAGCTTTCAAGAGGACTTCAGTTTAAGAATGTGTGGGGAACAATAGAGTTCCCACTGAATAGTTTTCATCTTGTCTAGATGGGTCTGGTAAAAAGAGATGGGGATAAGATTCTTATGATTCAATAGTAATTGTTATCATGACTAATTGCGACTGTCATAATTGTAAAGGTAGAAGTTTTGTAACAAAAATGGGGGGAGTTGTTAATCTTACAGTACAGAAACAGAGGATCCTAGGACCATCAAGGGAGAAGAACACAAACAGAATGTGGGACCTAATCCAGAGAAACAGCAACACCAGAGATGGATGCAGAGATGGGGTCATGGAGAGATAAAGTAGCTGAGAACTCTAGACTCATGGAAAGAGAGGAACTGAGAGCTGGAGGCCAGGAAGCAGACTCTCAGAATGTACCCTTTGGTGGTGTCAATTATTATATATGCCTGAGTGTTAAAAAGAAAAAGTTAAAATGAATAGAGAGAAATACTGTTAACTGATGGTACATGGAGGGGATTATAATCTTTGTAATGAAACAAAGTATATGATTTGTTGAATGTAAAACTGATAATCTGCCCTGTAAACTTTAACTGAATTCACAATAAAAAATTAAAAAAAAAAAGAACTAAAAGGAAACTTAAAGATAAGTGGGAAAAATGGATAGAAACTGCACTCTTACAATGGAATCTTTAGAAACTAACAAGGGCTCCTCTTAGGTGCGTTTCCTTAAACTAAAGAGCATCACACTGTTTGAGTAAAGCTGGATAAAATAAAATGTGAGTGAAAACCACAAGAAGTTGCGTTAAAACATTGTGATGCAACCAACTTTACAATACATCTTCTTCAGACTTATATTGATACTTCCCTTTTCTTTGTTTTGTTTTTTTGTGTGTGTGAGGAGGAGCAGCTTAAGATTCATGGATTCTAAAATGAACTTAAATACGTGGTGAATTTCTTGAATAATTTCGTTCTCTAAACCCAGTTTGGCTGCCTTGTGAAATGATTCCATGCAGTACACGGACGTTTCATTTATTTAATCATTCAAACTCCCATTCACATCTGCATGATTACAGAAACCATGGTGTAGGTAGGCTAGTAACACATAAGAAAATTGCAGAAAGATGGTAACAAAACCCGGTACTCATCGTAACACGTTTCTAATGGAAAAGATTTTGTTTTGAGTGTTTATTGTTCAGTTTATTACTTTTCATTTGATTCAATTGTTTTGTTGTATTAAACCCTGTATGTTATAGCTTAACAATAAAAATTTTAAAAATCTATGAATCCTTTTGTGAGCAGTTACACCTCCAAATCTAAGCAAGTAAGATATATATAAATGATTTGTATTTCATAAGTGGAGTGCTCCTTGTGTTGTTTCGAATTATCTTCAGAAACAAATATTGTTTCTAATTATCTTCAGTTGCTGCGAAACCCAAAGATCGAAACTTGGTTATGTATAAACTTATGTGGCTTGTGTTCTTCATTTACTGACAAAAAGAGTTGAAGCAAAGGCCACATCCACTACTTACAGGCTAACTGAAAGTTGTCATTAAATATATCAGAATGTAGTGTTTAAAAAGAAAAAAAGTATGTGCACAAATTCCATATTTCCATGCATTTTTTAAAGCCATCCTATATATGCACATGCTTCAAAAAATTCATCACTCTTAAAATTAACATCTTTGATGTTCCGAGGTGAAACATAACATTTTCCAAAGTTCAATACTCTAAGTAGTTTATCCTCCATTCCTTTCTCTTAATGCTAAGCACTTGATTAGAAAAATAGTCTTAATTTCTTGGCTCATTTTAACATGATAAGTAAATTACATCCATGAGGAGGAGATTTACAACAATACATCCTCATGTGGTGCTGTGGGATAAGGAGCTGGACTGCAAAGTTATTTTGAATCACAGGGTCGCCGGAGCAAGCTCACCAGCTGCTCCTTGGAAACCCTATACAGGGTCGCTATGGGTCAGCACTAACTTGACAGCACTTAACAACAACAACAACAACATTCAGTGCTCTGTTTTTGTTGCTGCTGTTGTTTAGTGCCATCAAGTTGGTTCTGACACATAAGACCCTGTAAGGGTTTCCAAGAAGCATTTGGTGGGTTTGAACAGCTGGTCCATTAGCGGTTCAATGCTTCTTCTATAATACCACACCAGGACTCCACTGGTTCCACAGTGGATTTTTAAAGAAAAGTTTCCATGTAAAATTATTTTGGACATATTGTTGTTGTTAAGGGCCATTGAATCGGTTCCGACCCATAGAGACCCTTTATAGGGTTTCTCAGGAGCAGCTGGTGAGCTTGAAACACTGACCTTGCGTTTCAAATCAACTTTGTTGTACAGCCCATTAACTCACAGTGCCACATATAGAAAAACAAAATTGGAAAATTCATAGGCATTTCTTTGATTTTTGAAAGAATCTGAGGGCAGTGATTGAAAACAAATTCACTATTACACTTAAAGTTGTTGTTGTTAAGTTGGTTCTCACTCATAGCAACCCTATGTAGGGTTTTTGAGGGTGGCTCTTGGGTTTGGACTGCTGACCTAGGGGTTAGCAATTTAGTGCTTATCCTACAGTGGCACAGTTGTTGTTGTTAAGTGCCATTGAGTCAATTCTGACCCATAGCGACCCTGTATAGGGCTTCCAAGGGGCAGCTGGTAAGCCTAAACCACCAACCAACCTTGCAGTTCAAATGACTTTGCAGTCTGACGCATTAGCCCAGCAGCGCCACACCAGGACTTCTACAGTGGCACAGTAGCATAGTATATATGTATTTTGAAAAGAAAAATAGAAGCAGATTGCTCAATACTGAAAACAATATTACCATTAACCTTCACTGTCTTTATGTTGTGGTATTTGTCGCTATTATATGACAGACAGTCTTTAAATGGGACACTTTAGGGCTATGAATACCTAGGCCACGTTTCTGTTGATATGAATTGCTACATTAGCTGGCATTCCTTCTAGTACCTCTAGCACAGCTCAACTTTCTCTGCTCAGAATATATCCACTTTGTTACCTGATTGGAAAGAAAATGCCCCCTTATTAGCACAAAAAGCTAGGTGAGTTCAAGCTGTCTTTAATGTCAAATGGAATTCAATGATGACCTTCTCAATTCTAAGCACTGCTGTTCTCTCCAGAAGACACAGCTATGTTTACAATTCCCAGGAAACACTACCAAAAACTCTTCTTTCTGTACCTTCTCATACACACGACTTTGTATATAATGAACCCACATGGTTGAAGCTATGGTTTGACTTACATTTGCCTGACCCCTAACCCAAACATCTCTGTTCTTTTCCTTATCAGCCTGTAACATTTCACAGTGGTCAAAAACACTACTATCCTTAATATAATCCTTAATTAGAAGTATAAAAATATTCAGGAATTATTGGTTCACACTACATCTAGTCCTTCAAAGTTTCATAATAATTGTGATACCAATTGACATATTAAGTGAAAGACAAGATATCAAGACAAATGTGGTAAAAAGATTTCTTATGCCAACTCAATATTTTGCAGAGCTGTAATGATTAATAATGTAGTTATTAGTAAGTAACTTATTGCTGAATGATTGGCCCTTCCTGAGTTGGAGTAGTCCTTTGTGTACTGTCTCCCAAACAGTGACACTGTTAGGACAGACCCAGATATCCCGTTCTTGTTTACCAGACGTCCATCTTTTAGTACCTAAAGAAAAGAAAAAGTAGGGAAAGTTCTGTCAGCGTTATTAAAATAAACATTATAAACAGACTAATGACTTTGAAACCATCCTAGATATAATTTTCAGTCTAGAAATTCTTTCTTGAGGAAGGAGGACTAGACAGGACAGGAAGCAAACCACTATTTCATATGCAAGCTGGACTGCAAAGTTGTTTGAACTCCAAGGTCGGTGGTTCAAGCTCACCAGCCGCTCCTTGGAAACCCCATGCCGGGTCATTGGAACCGACTCGAAGGCACTTAACAAGAACAAACAACAAAAAGACTCAGTAATTCTAGATAGTCCAAGATTTGGGTTTCAATAATCAAATGTATCCTTAATGAAAAAACCATCATTAGCAAGAATTTGCTGAACCCAAATGTATACAAAATAATCAGGTTGTTATTTGCCATCGAATTGCCTCAATACCTAGCAACTTTATTATATAACCAGTCCTACAGTCCTGCAGTCCTGGTATGGCACTGTGGGCTAATGTGCTGGACTGCAAAGTTGGTTTGAACTGCGAGGTTGGTGGTTCAAGCTCCCCTTGGAAATCCTATACAGGGTCACGGGTGGTTACTTCCAGTCTTGAAGTTGGTCATGGTGGAAATATTTACACCATGAAAATTAGCAAATAGTCATGATTTTTTTTTTACCTCAGAGAGTGAATTGTTAAAATTGACACCATTAAGAAGAGCTGAAGATCAGTAGAGAGAAAAGTAAGCTCTAACTAAGGTGGACATGTTATTAGAAGAGGCTAGTCCTTGGAAAAGGACATCATGTCTGGTAAAGTAGAGTGTTAATGAAAAAAAGGAAGAACTCCAACAAGATGGATTGACAGAGTAGCTACAATGATGGAATTAACCCTATTAACAATTGTGATGATGTCATATAACTGAGGAGTTTTCCATTCTGTTGTACAGAGGGTCACTGTGAGTGGGAACTGATTCAATGACACCTAACAACACCTAACTGGTTAAGCAGAGGGTCGGAAAAATGAGGATAACCCCCAATGAGATGGAGGTGCATAGTGGCAGCAGCAATGGGCTCAGACGTAGCAACAATTGTGAGGTTGGCCTAGGACTTGGCAGTGTTTCATTCTGCTGTGAATAGGATCACTGTGAGTCAGTACTGAGTCGATGGCACCTAACAACAACAATACCTAAGAACAACTCTTGGTGTGGCACTGCAGGATAAGCACTGGACTAAAAATTACAAAGTCAGCAGTTCAAACCCACCAGCTGTTCCTTGGAAACCCTGTACAGGATCACTGTGAGTCAGAACTACCTCAACAGCACTTAACAATAACAACAAATCAAAGAGGAAGATAAGGATCTATCCTGAAGCTGCTGAGAATTCTCTACAAGGAAGAAAAGCAGGAATGTATTCCAAGAAATAGAACAAAGAAATGGCTCTAGCAGCTGTGGGTAAGACACTTTGGATGGAGAACTTGAAAACTGAGATACCAAATACTTTATAAGCTTCATAAATGGAAGAAAATGAATATCTTAGAAGACAGGTATTGTGGTGATCACATATAGACAAAGACACAGATGACTAACAAGTTATCAATTACACTGTTTATTAGTAATTAAATGAACAAAATATAATTTTAAACATTCATTGTTCATTAGCTATTCATTATTCATAAATCATTCCTTGTTTAGTAAGGAGTTCTCTAGAAGAACAAAATAAAATACCTGGGCTATATTTTACATTATAATTGGGTGAAAGCTTAACATAAGCTAAACAAACACAAATATTTTATTTTTATTTTCTGGGAACTTTTCTTGAATACAGTAAAAATTGTGTCCATTTTGGCCTTCATGAAATTGGTCAAGATCAGTGATTGCTTTTCAGGTGCTAGCTAGAATTTAACATTTTCACCTGTTGGAAATTTTCTTAAAATATAAAATACACTATAAAAGTTACTTGCCTTTTAAACAGAGCATACTAAATATAATTTGAACTTTTTGATGATTCCTTTAAACTGATGGTTCTTAGCAATGAAAACCACAGGAGCGCAATGTAAAAATATAGGTCCCCCCTCAGCAATTTGTACTTAATGGATCTGGATTTGGATTTGACTTCTTAATCCTCCAGCCTGTCTGCATGGTGATCTGTACTTACAAGACATTTAATACATTTGACCAATTTCTGAGGGTTTTTGTTTGTTTCTTTCTTTCTTTCTTTCTTTCCTAGTTGCTGAAGACTTTGGTTAACAAGGTAAATTTTTACAGAAGGTACCTAAAAGATACCACGATATTTATGAAACACTTTGCCATTCACAAAGTGCTTTCATATACATGATTGTATTTGAACTCTATCAGTGAGAAAGTTGTTCTCTTGATTTTACAGCAACAATATTTCGAGATTAAGTAGTTCACCTGGGGTTATGTCATTAATCAGCTTCAAAATCTAGACTCTGCTAGAGAGTGCTTCTGATAATACAAGGGTGAGTCAAAAATTATCTGCACTCTGGCTGTAGAATTTATTTTAATCAACTTTTAGAAAAGACAAATACATCATTTTTTGACATAATCTCCTTGCTTTTCAATACATTTTGTCCATCTGTCAACAAGCTTTTGTATTCCCCTATTAAAAAAATGTCTTAGTCTGAGCTGTGTGATACGAATGCCCTGCTGTCTACACTTCTTCATTGGAGGTGAATCTTCATCCTCAGAGGGATGCTTTCAGGGGACCAAATAGGTTCAAATCTGATGGAGTAAGACTAGGACTACAAGGAGGATGCTGTAACACTTCAAAATGAAGATTTTGCAGTGTCAACAGTGTGGGCAGAGGTGTGCATATGTGTACTGTCACACACTATCACAAAGCCCTTGGATAGCAGTCCTCTGCGACTAATCCAAAGTTTATGCTTTAGCTTTTCAGTAAGCATCTCACTGTAATGAGCACTGTTGATTATTGAACTTTTCTCCTGACAGTGTTCCAGTACTGGCCCTTGAAGACCCCAGAAAACTGCAAGCATCAATGTTCCAGCTTCTTATTGACTTTTGAACTTTTTCTTGGTCAGCAATTGAGGATATTTCCATTCTATACTCTGCTATTTAATATCAGGATTATAGTGACAAATCCATGTCTCATTACCACTAATGATTTTTTTTAAAGAAACTTTTACTTTTCTTCCAGTATCGATCCAAATTTTGGTTGCAGATGTCCAAATGCTTTTGTGAGTTGGTTTGGTACCCATCTTGCACAAACTTTTCAAAATCCAAGTATGTTGTGGATTATTTCATAGGCAGACCCATGGCTGATTTGCAAATAATTTACCACACAATCCACTGTCATGCATCTATTTCACAGAATCATTTCATTTGCATGTTCAATGTTGTCATCAGGCTTGGACATGGATGGACATTTAAATACAACCAAAGTGCAGATAATTTTTGACTCACCCTCGTACATAGGATTTACCTAAGGTGATAAAGCAAAGTGTCCTCAACATCTTTTAGCATGGTCAGTAACACTCTACACTTTTAGTGTAAAACCAGGGGGAAGAAAGGATGCACAGTTGTGGTTAAGTTCCATTGAATCTAGGCAATTTCAACTCATAAC